GGGGTGGGCAGGAGTGGTTGATTATATACTTTCAGTTGGGAGGGGGTTAGGGAGAGCCTCTGAGGCATTTGGAAGCAAGGTTTCCAGGACCCTGAGGGGTCATTTACTACTGTCTAATAAAACCCTAGTCATGAGACCCTACAGATGTCTATCAGTGGGTCATATGCTTGAAGGATGATTGCCAACATACATCTTGGGGGCACTGTCATTTGTTAAAGTAGACTTGCAGTATCCTGGAGGTCCGGCTGATGTCAAGCTAAGGTTGCGTTTTGCCCTTAGCCAAGTATTCACATTAAGGCAGTTGAGTTCCTGGAGGAAGGTTACCCTGCCTGTCTCAAGTAGTTGTCAGTGTGATGTGGGGAACAAAGGCAGAGGGAAATATAGATAAAATTAAATGTGCTTATAACCTGCAGCCCACTGACAAATCCTTGAGGCAGGCAGAGCAGAACCTTCCTCCAGGAAACTCCCAACTGTCTTCATGCTGATGCTTTGTTAGAGGGAAAAACAACCTCAGCTTGACAAGAGCCAGGCCTACTGGATCCTGTGAGTCTTCTTTAGCAGATCAAAGTCCTTTTGGAAACTTCCCTTTGTCTTTACCTCCCCAAACCCAAAGTCTATAATCAGTTGCTCCTCACAATCCTGGGGCAGCAGCTCTTTCTGCCCATGGGTCATGTCCCTGTGCTTTAATAAGACCACCATTTTGCTCCAAAGACGTCTCAAGAATTCTTTCTTGGCCCTTGGGTCCAGATCCCAACATCACTCCAAAACCACATCAAATGGGCTATAAGTTATGAGGAAGTTTAAGACTCTATAATGTATAAATGGTGTCCCTGAAGAAGAAAATTATAACAATGTAACAAAACTGCCCTTTAAAATGATAACCCTTGATGGGGCGCTGTGTAGCTGTCAGTTGGACAACCGTCCAACTCTTATTTATTTATTTATTTATTTAATTCTTATGTTAATCCCCATACATTACATCATTAGTTTTAGATGTAGTGTTCCATGATTCATTGTTTGTGCATAACACCCAGTGCTCCATGC